ATGGTGGAAAAGCTTGAAAAGGGACCTTGAAAGTGCTTAAAAAGTGCTTGAATCTGACCCTGAAAAAGGCGTATGAACCCTGAGATTAAAAACACAACAGCCTTAATAAACAGCAGTTTGGACCTGGAAGCAGGATTCATACGTCATCACTTAAAGACCGCACAGAGTCAGCTGTGACCAGCGTGAATGAATCTCCTGCCGTTTACAGTAAAACCTTCACATTGAGCTCATCCCCACAGAGCAGCAGGAGGAGCGGGGACCTCTGCCGTGCGTCTGCCTCGTGTTCTTCTAAATTTTTGTTATGATGCCACACTAACAAAAGCAAACGTAAAACACAGATTTAGAATCACTACAACTTCATAACCTGCATGTGAGACGAAGCACTGCATGAAATTCTGGTGGGACTTCATGTCGAAGCAGCGGGTGATGAAGCGGGGCTCTCACCATCTACATTACACACTCTGTAGAAACACCATCTTTACCCGTTTAAACAAAGCCCTCCGCCCCCTCCCTGCTCCTTCATCCCCCCTATCAAAAGTAAACACACATACCCACAGACGCCGAGGGGAGACTGCCTCGCAGTAGCGAGAAGTAAGTGTGCGTCTGTGTGTCGGCTTGTTAAGGGACTGTTTGGATTAATCTGTAGGAACCAGATGCCCCCGCTGTGTTCCTTTCAGTCCCTCCATTAATTACACCGTTACTAATAACGGCCTTTGTGTGTGTGTGTGTGTGTCCATCCCTGTGGGACACATGCTATGGGTAGGTGTGATTCCTATAGCTATAGGTATTCAGAGAACAGAGCAGCACCCGTGTCACTGAGGCAGTCCAGTGATTCTTCATGATACAGCTCAACTGTTTGATGTTAATCTGAAACACGCAGCACTTTTATGTAGATATGTTGATACGATAAATGAGCTTTAATTAGGTCCTGATTGACGAGATATTGAGGATTACGTGCACCATGTACGCGTATCGTTGACATATCACTGTTTTATGATAAAGTGTCACACAGTGATGGAGCCTGGCCAGTTAAAACAGAAAAACCACCATCACATTACCAGTCTTACCAGCTGGGCAGTGGTTGGTTCTGTGCTCGGTGAGCTCAGCCAGACAGTCAAAGTCCTGTTGGCAGTTGTCACAGGTGAAGATGGATTCGTCGTCCAAGTCATCGTCGTGATCATCGCGGTCCTCGTCCGGTTCTCCGTCTTCAGCACCGGGCCCCTCTTTGGGGTCGGCGGCTCTTTCAGATGCAGCTACGTCTGCAGAGAAACACAGAACAAGTTTGTCTTTGTTACCATGAACGATCACAGTCGCATCTTTGTGCCGTTATGATGCCATCCCATTCAAATATTCACTGCGTCACCCACTTTCACTCTGCGTCATGTTAGGTTGGGCTGCTGTGTCACTCAGACCTGCAGGTATTTGCAATAAGCTTTATTTAGAGTGCAGCACATCTGTGACATTTGTTCACACTGATTCATGAACCAAACTTTTCAATGTTTCCTTTTAAATCATTAATTGGTGTTGTTGTATTTCTTTTGTTCCTGCCGTCACACTCGGTTATTCTTTTGAGTTTGAGATGTCAAATTCATATGGAAGCACTTCCAAAAAGGCTTTTTATGTTAGAAGGATAGAGTCGGTATTATCACCTCCAAGAATCGTTGACAGGACTTAATACCTCAATTCAATTCAATTCAATTCAATTCA